GACAACACGTACAAAGGACCTGTATCTGTCTGTGGAGCTGTCACGAGATACCACAGGTTGGGCATCTTAACCAACGGACATTTCTTTCCTGTGGCTCTGGGGGCTAGAAGTCAGTGATCCAGGTGTCATCGGTGCTGGCTTGCAGATGGCTACCTTCCCATCCTGTGTTCTGTATGGCCTCCCTTCTATGCTCTGGTCTTCCTGGTCCTTCTCTTACAGAGACACTAGGTCAGAGACAGTCAGTGAAGGAAGGCTTCACCCTCGTGTCCTCTTAGCCTCATGTACCTCTCCAGATGCTGGAAGTCATGCTGGAAGGCACAAGGGGATTAGGCTCCAGCATAGGAATCTGCACGCATAGTTCAGTCACAATACATTAGGTGACATTAGGCTTGGTGTATCTCAGTGCTGGAGAGCTGGGTGTGGATGTGTTCTGTAGGTCACAGAACAGGTCCCTGGGCTAATCTGCAAGTAGTTTGTTTGGGCCCATACCTCTGCAGGAAGAGATGAAGTGTGGTTTGAGCCCATTTCTTATTCGAGCTGCGGGACAGCCCGTGCTCCGAGGCTAGGAAGCAGAAGGACATCTGCATTTCTCTCCCCATCTGAACTCCTTTCTTTTTCTTGTTCTTACCAAGAATCAAAGGCTGGTGGGTGTCTCACCATTACGTCTCCACGTTCCTGTCTGGAGTGATGCTGACTTGGTGAGTCATCCCTCACTGGGCCCTTTGACCATCCTCCCCATGGAGCCAGAGCTGGGGCTGGTACGTGAGGAAAGCAAGTGCGAACTGAAAACTGGGTTAGAGGCCCAGCTGCCCAAGTCCTGCCAAGACAGCTGGGAGCTTTCTGGGGACTATTTCACAGTTTCTGTTGGCTGGAATGGAGATGACCGGGAGCAACACGAGGAATCGGAGTGATCATGATGTCCCTTCCTTCTAGAAAGGGTGATGGGTGTGACCTGGTCAGCTCAAGGACAGAGGACAGGAATCTGGGACTTTGTTTTACCTTTGAAATGTTTTCTTTCCTTTCTGTTAGAGTGAAAGCGAGGAGTATGAACGGATGTCTGGTTTTCCAGCATGTTCCACCTTTGTGTTTTTTTTTTTTTTTTCCCCAGGCCTAATGGACTAATTTATCAGAAGTTTCGAAATCAGTTTTTAGCGTTCTCCATTTTTCAGAGTGAGTGCTCAAGCCCAGCTTAAAGGGAGGGACCTGGTTTCCCAAGGGATTTTATTGACGAGGAGGTCCCCAGAAGATATCCATCCTGGCCTGTGTGGAGGGGAGGGACCTGGCCAGATATGTAGATCATCCATCTCCCGTCCCCAACACGGTCTTTCATACTTGACTGAACATGTATCCCTTACAGTATGGACAGCTCAGGCATGCAATGGCCCATCAAAGCACCAGCCAGATTAGAAGCCTCTGGAATTTTCCTAGGCTTGTAGTAGGCACTCAATAAATGGTCTTTGGAATGTGAGCTATGTGAGATTTTCTGGGAGCAACAGGCAACATTGAGATGCACAGGAGTGACTCCATGCTGAGGGACACACAGCTGCTAAAATGAGGTAGTGACAGAAGTATAGCTGTGGTAACTTATTAAAATAATAATAATAATAATAAAAAAAAAGAAAGGCGGGCAGTAGTGGTGCGCGCCTTTAATTCCAGCACTTGGTGGCAGAGGCAGGCGGATCGCTGTGAGTTCGAGGCCAGCCTGGCCTACAAGAGCTAGTTCCAGGACAGGTTCCAAAGCCAGAGAAACCCTGTCTCGAAAAACCTAAATAAATAAATAAATAAAATAAAAAAGCGGGTCACCAGGGTGTTCTGTCTGCCCTTCTGCTCAGCCCACCCACCCACCCACCGGCTTGCACTTGATAAGGACATTGGATTTGAGGGAGAGGCCTTGGTTTATTTTCCTTGAACATGGGCACTGTGCTCCCCCTACAGGCTGTGTTCAGTTCCTACAGTACTATTACCAGAGGGGCTGTCTCTACAGACTGCGAGCCCTGGGGGAGAGGAACCACCTGGACCTCACTGTGGGTGAGTAACTGGGCACCAGGTAGAGTTGGGAAGACTGGCCACCTCTGTGGATAGAGGCTCATCATCAGAAGGCCATAAGACTTCCAAGCCTCAAAACTGGGTCTGCTATTCTTTACCCCACTTGCTGTCCACAATTCATCGGGGATCCTGCTTCAGCCACCAAGTGTGGCAGCAACTGAATGCTAGGCCGCGCCACTCACTGCTGGGCCTCAAGCTTACCCTTGGGAACACCGGTATTTTTTGTCTCAACTTTATAATATACACAGTGTTTGGCCAGGTGTGGTGGGACATATCTGAAGTCCCAGCTACTTGGGAGGCCGACACGGGAGGGTCCTTGAGCCTGGAAGTTTGAGGTCAGCCTGGGCAACAGAGAGACCCTGTTGATTTTTTTAAGTAGTCACACACACTTAACCTCTTACCTCTTCCCACAGAAGGGTTCCAGTCTTGGATGTGGCGGGGCCTCACCTTCCTCCTGCCTTTCCTTTTCTGTGGCCATGTGAGTCCCTCTGTTTGTGGGTACCCCTGTCAGGGATGACCCCTGGGAACAGAAGATCTTTGGGGCTCCCCTCCCTCACAAGGTATCTGTCCCCAGGTGACTGGGTTGAGATACCCACCCATACAGATATCACCCCCACCTAATGCCTGAGCCTTAGAGCTTCCCGGGGGTCTGAGGGCTTCCCCGCCCCGTAGCGCAGGAGAGGGCCAGTCTCTCTGAAGGAGAAGTGGGGAACCTCAGGTATCAGGTAGTGCCCCCCATTCCCATTTCCTCAGGGTCTAGGGACACTAAAGACAGAAGCGAGAGCTGGCCCTTGGGACTTGCTGTCTCTGAGACACTCATGGTTCCATGGGATGGGGAGTTGGTCTCGGATGCTGGGGGGTCTGGTCCATCTCCCTGGCTTTCCACATGGATCTGCAGGGAAACGGATGGGTGAGTGGTGCCTGTCTCCCTGTCTCCAGTTCTGGCAGCTCTACAATGCCGTCACGTTGTTTGAGCTCTCCAGCCACGAGGAATGCAAAGAATGGCAGGTACCGTGCCTCTGTCTGTCTGTCTGTCTGTCTGTCTGTCTGTCTGTCTGTCTGTAGGGAGTGGGAGGCTTGAAGCGGGCTGGACTGGCTGCCGTGAGGGAGGACTCTTTCGATCCCTTGGTCCTTGGTTCTGGGTTCCTGCTGCCCAGAGTTTTCTGCTGTTGGGGTCTGAGAGGAAATAGGAAGGAATTCAAGAGGTGTGTGTGGGGGGGAACCCTCAGTGTTGTTGAACAAAGGAGGATTACCCCACCTGACCTTGGGCACTCAACCTTACTCATCCATTTGCACGCTTTGCTGGCCACTCCGGTTGCTTTGCTAAGGGTCTGGGGTTGAGGTTAGAGGCGAGTTCTTCTGCAGGGAAACTGACTCAAGCGTCTCCTTCCTCCCCTGCATTGCTGGGTGCTGCACGTCTGGATCCACCAGGTATTTGTTCTGGCCCTCACCTTCCTCATCCTCTTCCTTGGCAATTTCCTGACCACGCTCAAAGTCGTGCACGCCAAACTCCAGAAGAACAGAAACAAGACAAAGCAGCCATGAGCCTCCGCACTCTTGTGCCTGGGGTCTTGGGACTTAAGACTGCTGGGGATTCCAGTCAGCACCCTGGCTGCCGGTCACTGGTAGCCATGGGCAGCAGCATCTCAGGGTCCAGCAGCATCACTGGGAACTGGGCCGAGGCCCTGGTCCCTGGCCAGACATGAGGAATGTGAAGGCCGCCTGTGCGCACAGTATTAGCCTGCCCCAGCTCCCTATTTATAACGTATTTAATGCCGGTCTTCCCTGATTCCCCGGACTCTGAGGCCTCCCCTGCAGCTCTGGGTAATGGCAGAGGCCATATCTGTGTCTGTCCTCCAGGGAGGGGCAAGAAGCCTCAGGGAACCCCTCTCTTCTTTCTGTCATTTGAGCCCCTCACTGGGGTTTGGATGTGCCTCACTAGGGTTGGCTTTAGCTGACCTGCTATTTACTGTGTCCCAGACACCGGGTGGAATGAAACTTTTAGCATCCTGTGGATCCCCCTTCCCTGGGCCACCACCTCTGTGTAAGCTCCCCATAGCCCCCACCCTCTGTGGTGAGGGAGTATTTAAGTTCTCAGAGATCCTGACTGTCTCGTGTCTTGCTTTGTGTTTCCTGCACCACCTGCCACAAGGGGAAAGAGGCACAGCCTACTCAAGACCTTGAGAGAGCCCTGAGGTGGCAGAGTTTTAAGGATGCTCTCCACCAGAGGGCGCCAAGCCTCTGGGTTGTTGGAGTTCAGTGGGCTCTTGGGGGGGGGGTCTCTCACGACTGCCCTTCAGCCTTCCTTCACAAACTTGCTGTTGAGTTCTTGACATAGAACCCAGACCCCAGTGTGACTGGGACTCAAGCTGTTTGGAGGTCACTCATTCCCTGTCTCCACCTCAGAGAGTCTTGTATGTGTGGGAAGGGCTGCGTGGCCCTGTGAGATCCAGGCAGCAGCAAGCGTGGAGGTACAGAGGTTCAGTTAAATGTTCTGTCCCTTCCCACCCATGGGCCTCAGCTGCCCGCCCAGACCCAGCTTCACAGCTGGCGTCCTCAGACATGCTTCATTGGTCCTCATAGGAGTTTCAAATTCTTTAGTCGTATGATAAAAATGAGGTCTCCCCTCCCCTACCCTGAGATTCCACAAGAATCCAGATTTCTGTTTACCTTACAAAAATGGAAAGACCTGGCAACATTCCCAAAGGGCAAGATCAGGCACCTGCTCTTGTTTGCCTCAACCGGCCCCTCCCTCCATCCCTGCCCTACTTCTGTCCTTGGTCTCCTGTCCTTGGATCACCTGGCCTGTCCTTTGCAGGTTCCTGTGATTGCCCCAGGTGAGGAATCAGCAAACCTTTCCCATTAAAGCCCAGGTGATGACTGTTTTAGGCTTTGTGAGCTAGTCCTGTGCTAACTTCAGCCTGCAGGTGTGGAGCAAAAACTGCCATTCCTAATTGTGGCGGTTCAATAAAACTTTATTTACAAAAACAGGCAGTGGCCACATGTGGCCCACAGGCTGTGGGGTTTGTTGACCTCTCCCCTATACCATATAATTTATTCACAAGGCCTTTGACTCTGAGAGAACAAGAGGTCCTTGGCAAGGGACTGCAGGGTCTTGGGGCCCTTGGGGTAAGGGGATCAGAAGTCTCTTTCCTTGGCAGCCTGACTTTGGGGGGGCTGAGTCAAGAGCGGCTGGGACAGATGGGCCAGCCAAGGCCATGGTTTCTTCTTGGGAGATGATGACTTCCTCTTGGGGGCACTACAGCCACCTGGGACCCTTGGCTTGAAAAGTTCTGAAATGTAGGCGCTAGACCTTCCCAAAGGAAATGTCAGAACTCGAGAATCTTGCTGTAGTAGACACTGATTGTCAGCAGGGATAGGCCATTCCCAAGCCCAACATCCTGGTAAGAGCAGAGAGTGGATGGAGTGGAAGATGGAGAGCTTGACAACTCAAGTGACAGTCCTGGCCATTTACAGATGGGAATGGTTTAGGGAGAGAGCCATTTGCCTGAGGCCCCTGACGGGTTCAGGACTGCCCATCAGGAGTCCCCAGTGGAAGTCGGCTGAAGTGGGACCGCCATCAGGGATCCGATGGGAGGCCTGGCTGGCCTGAGCTTATTTTGATCTTTTGAGAGATCGTTTCTTCTGCCCCTGAGCATCTGTCTAGGGCTAAGACAAAGGTCTTCAGTGTGGTACAGAGGGAGCAGCTGTCTGGCCCCATGTCCGGCTTGATGCCTGGACTCTCCTGATAGGCCGTGGCCCCAGGTTCCTGAGGGGAAGGAGGAAGAGGCTGGAGGATGTAGCCAAGCCTATCTCAGGAGCTCAGGGAGGCAGTGACAGGACTCTTGTGAATGGCATTGCATATCCACTTTTGCCCACATTCTCAATGCATGAATTGGGTTTGGAAAGGGAAACACGCATGACTGGGGCAAGAAGGAGCTGTGACAAGGGCCCTCCTACGGCCTGGGAACCTGTGCCAGTCCTAGGAGCGAGGGACATTGCTGGGTCTGACACCATCATTCACCGTTGAACTACAGCGTGAACCCAAGGACAGGACGAGAATGCTCCAAGATGCCAGGCATTGGAGGGCTCTGATGGAGCAGCATCCCAGGAGTAGCCTAGGCCTGGGTCCCTGGCCATGACAGTTCTACTCAGGGCTGTCTGCCCCAGGGTCACAGCAGCAGGCAGATTCTGTGTTTTTTCTGCCTCTGTGCTTTCTTCAGGGCACTGAGGGCCACCTTGGCAGCTTCCCTGAAGACGTCTTCTACATTCTCCCGAAATTTGGCGGAACATTCCAGATAGAGTGCAGCTCGAATCTGTTCACAGGCACTCATGCCCTGGGAGAGGGGAGGGGGAGGCAGTATTAATTAGACGAAGACCTGGTACCTCCTCCTGACACCCCCTCAGAGCCTTAGGAGTTTGGGCTAGCTTTGGAGGCTCTCCAGAGCTAGAAAACTAACTTTGCCATTTTGTTGTTTGCATGGCTGGATGGGAGAAACCCGTTGCTGGCCCCCACCTGTCCTCTCCCTGGCTTTCAGCTGAGGGGAGTTGATTCTGAGAACTGGGGCTAGCTACATCTCAGACCTGTTCCTTGTCAGTTCCAAACTCAGCGACTGAATTTTCTGGTGAAGTGAAATAATAAAAACCTTGCCTTTACATTGTTAGTGACTATTCCTTTCTATTTGAGACAAGACCTCACTATGTAGCTCTGTCTGGCCTTGAACTCACAGAGATTCACCTGCCTCTGCCTCCCCAGTGCTGGGATCAAACATATGTCATAGTGCCCAGCCTATTAGTTTTTGTTTCAGTTTTTCAAGACAGGGTTTCTTTGTGTAGCCTTGGCCAACCTTGGGCTGGCTTCAAACTCAGATTCACCTGCCTCCCTAGTGCTGGGATTAAAGGTGTGCCTTACTACTACTACTATTATTATTGTTGTTGTTGTTTGATGAGTCTTATGTGCCTGCTAAGGCACTCCAGTTGAGAAGACCAAGGTCTAGGTAGTTTCTGGCTGTGGCTGTTCAGGGGTGGTGGGCCTGCGTGGTAGCTAGGGCCGTGGCCCACCTGTGTGTAGGTGATGGGCTCCAGCTGGGCTGCCCGGAGCTTCCGCAGCTGCTCCTTGTCCTTCCTCAGGTCTGTCTTGCAGCCAATGAGAACCATGGGAGTCCCTCGGCAGAAATGAGTGACTTCAGGGAACCACTGGGGGGGGGGGGAGAAAGCAGGGTGTCAGAGGCCATCCTGGAGCTGACCCCTACTCTCGGAGGCAGGCAGGACTCTACCTTGATGAGGACATTATCATAGCTGGTGGGGTTCATGACATCGTAGCAGATGAGAACGAGGTGTGTGTTCTGGTAAGACAGAGGCCGCAGCCGATCATAGTCTTCCTGCCCTGAAACCAGAGGGAGATCAAAGGCATGAATCCCTGTCTACCGGGGTTCCTGTCTGGGCTTTGGGGGGGGGATGACCTCAGGGCCTGATTTTCTCATTTGTAAAGTGGATAGGACAGGGAAAGAGGGAATGGGTTAAATGTCATCAGACCCATGCAGTGCCCAGCTGGACTGTTCATAGAGGACCGTGAGCTGTAGCTATTCTGCCAAGGATGGGTGAGCTCCCCTGCCTTCAAGCCCAAGACTCAGATCTGGGGTCTTTGCCATTCAGATATGTCCAAGGTCCAGAAGCCTGTGTTCCAGCCTCCTTGGTTTTGAGGCATCTGCCTAGATCCCTCCTGCCCATTCTTGCACATGCAAATGAGTTAGGAATGGGCACATTTATCACTATATCTCACGGGGCACTCGTCTCCCATTGTACCTGGCACCCACCTGGGGACATGTGACAGTCCCAGACACAGCCCTCCATAGCCCAGGCCAGTCAGAACCTAGAAGCTGGGCCTCGGTGTGGCTCATCCTGCTTTTGTAAAATTTGAAGGTAACTCAATTTTTACATTTTTGTTTGTTTTTGACATTTGGGGGGGAGGTTGAGATAGGGTTTCTCCATACAGCCCTGGCTGTCCTGGAACTTCCCAGGCTGGCCTCAAACTCAGAGATCTGCCTGCCTCTACTTTGTGAGTGTTGGAATTAAAGGAGTGCACCACCACCTAGCTTGACATAGGTTCTTACTGTGTTGCCCTGGCTAGCCTGGAACTTGCTGTGTGGATCAATCTAGCTTCAAACACACAGCCATCTTGAGTGCCTCTGCTGGGCATATCTGCTGGGCATACCAACATGGCTAGCCACAGGAAATTTATTTTGTCAACAGTTTTAAACTTCCAGGGAGACTGCATGGGTGAACACAGAACCCTTCTGAACCTTATTCGGTGCTTGCGTTTGGCTCACCTGCTCCGCCGTTACCGTGTGTGCTGACTGCATACATGATGCCCTCATTGCTGTCCTGGCAGAGCGCCTCACAGCAGCCTTCCATTGCTTGTCATGGTACTGGCACCAAGCCCAGCAAGCTACACTGACCCCATCCTTTATCCATTCTGAATTCAGATTTCATCCACTTCACCAGAACCAGCCGGGGTTACATGCCGCCTTGAGTTACCTCCCACAGTGAGGTTGGAACACCTTTAGGACTCATCAGAGACCCTCAGCCGCCTCTGTATAAACGTGATGTCCATCTACTACAAGGAACGGGGAGGTGCCCATCCAGCCCTGTCCCTATATTTCTGAGTGGTGTCAGCCTGCACTCCAGTCAGGCTATACACTCTGTCTCCATTGGTAACTGGTCCCAAGTCCTCAGCCAGCTGCACCAGAGAACAGTCCTAGTGTCATGGGCACCAGAGGCAGGTAAGGTACAAGTTCAGACCTCAGCTGTGTCCTTCACTTGCTGTGTGACTTAGACAAGTCACCTGTGGAACCCAAGTCTCCACCTGGAACATCATCATCTCTTCATTTTTCTTTTTCTTTTTTAATTTTAAAATTATTTGAGAATTTTTATTATTCTTTTTGTTAGTTAAAGCAATGTTGGGGGAGTTGTTTGTTTTTGAGATAGGGTTTCTCTTTGGCTTGGGAGCCTGTCCTGGTATTAGCTCTGTAGACCAGGCTGGCCTTGAACTCACAGAAATCCACCTGCCTCCCGAGTGCTGGGACAAAAGGCATGCACCACCCATGACCAGCTAGTTAAAGCAATTTTTAAATTTAAATATATTTTGGTCATATTATTTCCCTCCTCCTTCCAACTCACACAACTTTAAGTCCTTTCTCAAAAACCAAAAATACAATACAAAACCAAGAACACAACCCCCCACACACCAAAAAAAACTGAACTGTAGCCAAATGAAAGCTCACCCAAAAACCTGATGGGGTCCATCTTATATTGGTCAACTACTCCTGAACATGACGCCTGTCCTGGAGTGGTTGGTATACCACAGTGTCACTCTATTGGAGAAAACCGATTCTTCACTCTCCCAGCAAGTTTAAGTGATAGTTCAGTTGTTAACCTTTACCCTAGTGGCTAGGTTTCCGGTCTCTCTCTCTTTTTTATTGTCTTGATTTATCGGGGCTGGAAAGATGGCTCAGCAGTTAAGAGCACTTGCTGTCTGGGCATTGGTGGTGCACTCTAATCCCAGCATTCGGGAGGCAAAGGCTTCGGGGATCAGTTCGAGGCCAGCCTGGTCTACAGAATGAGTTCCAGGACAGGCTCCAAAGCTACAGAGAAACCCTGTCTCGAAAAACAAAACAAAAAAGGCACTTGCTGCTCTTCCAGAGGACCCAGGTTCTGGTCCCAGCACCACACGGTGGCTCACAACCATCCGCTACTCCAGTTTCAGGGGATCTGAAATCCTACCTGGTATTTAGAGGGCACCAGACAGATATGCGGTACACGTGGAAGGAGGAGGAAGGAGGAGGCAAAACACTGAGACGCATAAATCTCAACAGTGTTTCAGATGGACGTGTTTAGAGCATTGGCTGCAAGGCTCCAGGCCACATCCACAGCACCAGCTCTTCAGACCGCGGGCATGAGTGTCTTCTCTGAATGCATGTTTATGCACCACACATATGGTTGCCATTGGAGGCCAGAGAGACATCAGATCCCCTGGAACTAGAGTTACAGGTGGCTGTGAGCTGTCAAGTGGCTGCTGGGAATAGAACTCAGGTCCTCTGGAAGATCGACCAAAGCTCTCATTCGCTGAGCCCTCCAAAGCCCCTTTCTTTCTGTTTGTTTTTAATGGCAGTTTCACTATGTAAGCCTTGACTGACCTCAGACTCAGAGATTCTGCCCACCAAGTGCTGGGATTAAAGGCTTGTTCCACCAGGTCAGACTTGCTTCTTGACTTTTTAAAAACGTGTGTGTGTGTGTGTGTGTGTGTGTGTGGTGTGTGTGCGCGCGCGCTTGCGTGCGCGCCATCACTGCCCAGCTGTTTTTTGAGACAGGGTTTCACGTATTCCAAACTGGTCCTGAACTTCTGACCCACCTGCCTCCAACGTCCTAGTCTCGCTAATATTACAGGCACAAACCAGTCTATCCATCCTGGGACATGGAAAAGTAATAAAAACTGCCGTTGAGCTGTCACCAACCAATCCCTCTAATGTATGGGGTTTATCAGAGCATGCACCAGCCATCATAATGGGCCAGGGGAAATAGCCATGCTGTCCAAGTCCCCTCAACAAGGGAGAAAGGAGTGCTCGAGACACCCTTTGTGGTTCATCGGGGCACTGGCTCAGGATGTTGACCTAGGCAATCCTCTCTAAACCTGTCAATGTCTTTCTAGGCCTGCGTATCCAACAGGGCAGCTTCCAGCTCCTTGTGACAATTTGGATGTCAACTAATGAACAAGAAAAAATTGAGTTCCATGGTTGCACTAGCTACATTTCAAGTGATTAATTGTCATGCCAGGCTGGCAGCCATTCTGCAGAGCCCTGTGCACAGCTTGGATCTGTCTACTGCTTGCTAGTGATCCTGGCCCTATGCCATCCTTTTCAAACTACCGATGGCTTCTTCCTTTTTTTCTTATTTCCCCTTGCCATCATCTCATTATATAGCTGTGGCTGTCCTGGATCTAACTATGTAGACTGGACTGGCCTTGAACTCACAGAGATCTGACTGATCCCGAGTGCTGGGATCAAAGGCGTGCTCATCACTTCATCCAGCTGCCAGTGGTTTCTTGTGCCACCTCTCCCCTGGCTACCTGGCTGCTGGATGGATCTTAATACCCTGGTTCAGCTGCAACACTCAGTGGCCCCCGAGCCCCCTACTGCCTGACACGGGTTTACTATGCAGCACATGTTGGCCTGGAACTTGGGACATTCTCCTTGTCAATTTCCCTTGTCCTGAGATTATGGGCATGTACCACTCCAAACAGCTTTGTATTTTGTTTGTAAACATCCAGACCATATTAGTTCCTTTTTCACAGTGTCTATCTTCTCTACTTTTACCTTCATCTTATAGTATGTGGGGATTTTTTTTTTTTTTAAACATTTAACTTTTAGGTACATTGGTGTGGAAGTGTCAGATCCCCTGGAACTGGAACTGGAGTTACAGACAGTTGTGAGCTGCCATGTGGGTGCTGGGAATTGAACCGGGGTCCTCTGGAAAAGCAGCCAGTGCTCTTAACCCCTGAGCCATCTCTCCAGCCTCCCCCCATTTATTTTATTTTATGTATGTCTTAATTACTATTTTTCTTTGAGGAGACACCATGACAAAAGCCAAAGGCAACTTTTTTGTTTGTTTTTCGGGACAGGGTTTCTCTGTGTAACAGCCCCAGCTGCCCTAGGACTAGCTCTGTGGACAGGCTGGCCTCAAACTCACAGAGATCCATTTGCCTCTGCCTCCCAAGTGCTGGGATTAACAGCAACCACCACTGTCCTTGCTGCTCTTTAGTGGCCCTGGGTTCAGTTCCCAGCTCACCACTGCCTGTAACTCCAACTCCTGGAGATTCGGTGTGTTCTTGTACTCACATGCACATACCCACATACAAATACATACACACATACATATATGCATACATCACTTTAAAATGAAGAAAGTACTTGCTGCTCTTGCAAAAAACAAACAGACCAAAAAAAAAAAAAACCCCAAAAAAAAAAACCAAGTTCTGTGCCTAGTAAGTACTCACATGCTCAGTAATCTCTAACTCTAGTTCCAGAGAATCTAACTCCTTCTTCTGACTCCCTCAGGTACCAGGCACACATGTGCTGCGCAAAAATACATGTACTTAACACTCATAGACATAAAAATAATTCTTTTTGTTTGTTTTTTGAGACAGGGTTGTGGCTTTGGAGCCTGTCCTGGAACTAGCTCTTATAGACCAGGCTGGTCTTGAACTCACAGAGATTTGCCTGCCTCTGCCTCTGCCTCCTGAGTGCTGAAATTAAAGGCATGAGCCATCACTGCCCAGCATAAAAATAATTCTTAAAAAATAGATGCCACCAGGTAGTGGTGGCACATGGG